CCGAGAGACCATGACTTGCCCAAAGCCATCCAGTGGACTTCACGCTTCAGCAGGGATTCAAACCACTACACCACACTGGCTCCTCTAGTCTTGGTAAAGTAAGTAAATGTTTCCCCTGACATTAAGTCTAGTCGTGTCCAACTCTAGGGGGTGATGCTCACCTCCATTTCTAAGCCAAACAGCCAGCGTTGTCTGTAGACGCCTCCAAGGTAGTGTGGTCAGCATGACCACATGGAGCACGTTACCCTCCTGCCAAAGCGGTACCTAATTATCTACTCACACTTGCATGTTTTCAAACTGCTAGGTTGGCAGAAGCTGGGCCTAATGGCGGGAGCTCACCCTGCTCCCCAGATACGAACCACCAAGCCAGCAAGTACAGTAGCACAGCGGTTTAACCCACTATACCATTTAGGGCTCGTCTTATTCATCAATATTTTGGTAACTGACACTCAAAGCTTCTTTGAAATCTATCCCACTATTGCCACCTCATTTTGCAGGCTTTTTTTATTAAGCCCATCTAAAGAAGGGATAGGAAACACATGGCACTCCTGTTGTTTCCCATCCTTGCAACTCCTAGTATTTTCCAGCATTGGTTATGCTAGCTAGGGTTATAGGAGCTCCATCAAAAACATCTAGAAAACTGCACAAAGCCTGCCTCTGAGCTAGAGAAACTCATGTTTATCATGCTTCCCTATTTGCAACACTTGCAGGTGCAAACTAGATTCAGATTCCAATGTAATCCAATGTGGCTGCCATCCCATATGAGCAGCATCGCTTTTAACAGACTTTGATTACCCATCTGTCTCCATTCCACTGCAGCTGGCAAATGCCTTCTTAAAACACTATTGGAACTGGATTGGAGTGTGCATGCAAAGTAAGTCTAGTCCTAAATTACACACCAGTCTGTCCCTAAATTAAGTACTGGTCCTTTATTAGTTCCAAAAGTACAAAATGTGTCCTTTTCATTTCTTCTGAAAAAGATAACAAACGTGCTGTAATAAAATATCAGATGGAGCTAATGCTCCCAAAAATGCAAGAAAATTTGGGATAAACTGGGGAAGGTGTTCAGTAGTGAAGATAAAATTAGGCTGCCTTATTTTGAGCTGACATTATTGCAGCTCAACCATCCCTTTCATAACTCAGTAATTTTTTAAAGATCAAGTTAGGAAATGAGCAATTCTAAATTTGTCTGAAGAAATGCACATGGGTGACTGATGGGAAGAAGTGTTATGTGGGAGAATCAAAGAATATAAGCAGCACAGTCTTAACAGAGACGAGGGTGATGTCAGCTCTGGTCTCACATGGCAGAACGGTTTGCTCAGAAGACTCAAGTTACCCAAGCCTCCAGAGGAAAAAGATTCTTTGTTGTGCTATTTACTACAGGGGGCAGGAAAGTTACTTTTTTGGACCACAGCTGGCAGAACTCCCCAGCCAATATGGCTGCTTAAGTTCTGACTGAAAATGTATTCCTCCTGTTACTATTGCAGCATTTCTCAACCTGGAAATTGGGACCCTGGGGGGTAGTCACGAGGGGGTGTCAAAGAGGTCACCAAAGGCCATCAGAAAACAGTGTTTTCTGTTAGTCATGGGGGTTCTGTGTGGGATATTTTGTCCAATTTTATCATTGGTGGGGTTCTCAATGCTCTTTGATTGTAGGTGGACTACAAATGTCAAGCGTACAACTCCCAAATGTCAACTCCACCAGTGTTCACATTTGGGCATATTGAGTATTTGTGCCATGTTCAGTCCAGATCCATCATTGTTTGAGTCTACAGTGCTCTCTGGATGTAGGTAAGCTCCAACTCCAAAACTCAAGGTCAATGCCCAACAAACCCTTCCAGAATTTTGTGTTGGTCATGAGAGTCCCGTGTGTCAAGTTTGGTTCAATTCCATTGTTGGTGGAGTTCAGAATGCTTTTTGATTGTAGGTAAACTATAAATCCCAGCAACTACAACTCCCAAATGACAAAATCAATCCCCACCACAACCCCACCAGTATTCAAATTTGGGCATATCGGGTATTTGTGCCAAATTTAGTCCAGTGAATGAAAATATATCCTGCATATCAGATATTTACATTACAATTCGTAACAGTAGCAAAGAAAATAATTTTATGGTTGGAGATCATTTCAACATGAGGAACTGTATTAAGGGGTCGCAGAATTAGGAAGGTTGAGAACCACAGTACTATAAGATGACTCATGAGTCTCAAATCCATTATGTTGATAACTTGGGCAACTGGTCTCCTGTCAAACAAGAATGTGCTCCTAAAAACAAGGGAGTGCTTTTAAAAACGCCTTTTCTCCATCCCTAGCTAGTGTTAACTCACAGGCCTTGAATGACTTCTAGCAAGTCTTCGTGTAGATATTGAAAGCACACAAGATTCGATGGAAGCTTGCAATGCAATTCGCAGAGGGAATTGCTAATGCATTCGCTCATATGTTCTTCATCAAGACAATGACACTGGCAATGTTATATCAGGCAGTGGATGAAATTTAGTACCTGGAATCATCTGAAATGTAGTTTCTATCTTGGTTGCTATCAGGTGTAAACTTCCACAGGAGACAAGAGTGTTCGCCTGCCTCTTTTAATAGGAATTAGCTGTGTAGACTCTGATTGCATACACTGGGAACAAGAGACAACCATCTGAGGGATTTCTACTTCTACCTACTAGCAAATTTCCATATCTAGGACTGCTGGTGTTCCCCATGCAAATTGCACAAGCTTCTATTTGGTTTTGTGTACTTTTTACAGATTCAAGAACATGGCAAAAGTTATCCCAAGTGTGAGGAGAGGGTGGGAGTGAAGCACAGTTTCATCATATCCTGGTACAAGGAGTTGCATCCATCATTTCCCTCTGCAGTGTGAATGAGATCAGAGCCATTCAAGAAGGATCAGAAGAGCATGAATAAACTGAAGCGTAATATGGTAGAGCTACCGATCCAGGCAGGTTCTGCCAAATTAGATATTTGTTGGTACTTGAACGAACTGTTCTTAAGAGGTTCATTGCTTGGTGATGATCCCGAGTCCACTATCATTCTATTTATGCTGGTGAGTGACATAACCAAGAATGTCTTCTTTATATTCCTAATAGCTGTCCCCTGCTGCGCGTTGCTGTGGCCCAGTCTGTGTATATGTGTTTTGTTTGTGTATATATTTGTGTATGTGTATATATGTGTGTTTGCATATATGTGTGTGTTTTTGCACATGCATTGCAATGTAGTTTTTGTTTTTTGGCTTTTTAAGTCTCTTCTGTTGTGTTTTTCAGTGTTTTTGTGAGTGATGGTCACTTATTGACCTGATAGGTGTATTGTGCCCAAATTTGGTGTCAATTCGTCCTTTGTTCGTCAAAAAAGAGTTATGTTAATCCCACAAACGAACATTCCATTTTTATTAATATACTAGCCATCCCCTGCCACGTGTTACTCTGGCCCAGTCTGTGTATATGTGTTTTGTGTGTGTATATGTGTGTGTATATTTGTGTATATGTGTATTTATGTGGTTATGCGCATACGTTGTAATGTAATGTGTTTTTATTTTATTTTTTGGCTTTTTAAGTCTCTTCTGCTGTGTTTTTCAATGTTTTAATGAGTGATGGTCACTCGTTGGCCTGATAGGTGTTATTGTGCCCAAATTTGGTGTCAATTCACCCCGTGGTTTTTGAGTTCTGTTAATCCCACAAGCGAACATTACATTTTTATTTATATGGATACATCGTTCCACTTTGAAGGCTTGGCCATCATTGTACATCAACTGGTGACTTCCCAACTATACTCCTGCAACATGCTAAAATAGCCTGTTTCTTAGTGAGAGGTCACCAGCTACATAGGAGCTTCCTCCTTTTCACAGTGTGAACTAGGTACTTCTTTGATTCTGAGTCAGGTTTATAAGGTGCTACTTTCAACACTTATACAACATGAAGAAAGGATATTTTAGGTAAAGATGAGGAGTGTGTGGCTCTCTCAATGCAGGACTGCAACTCCCATTGTTCTTCATCATTGGCTATACTGGCCAAAGTCCAAACGATCAATACTTCAATCATCTTTGGAAGTCCACCATACCTCACACCTGCCTTAGGGAGTACCTCTCCTATATATGCTCCTCAGAGTTCAAATGAATTAATTGCTGGCAGATAAAGTGATTTCAGCCAATTAATTGCTGCTGCTGGATTCCAGGTACTCCCACAGTTGGAACTGAAGCTATCCTTGGGCAAGAAAAGAACATTTTCAGAATTGGCTCTGGCAATATGGAATTCATCAACAAGACTGCCACCAAGCCCAATTAATTGCCAGTTTACATGATTGATAAAAATGCCTTCCCTGGATTTCACAGTTTTTATGGCTTTTAATCTTGCCACATTTCATCTCAGAGTGCTGCTTTTTAGTTATCACTTTTAGGAACAGCTTAGGTTTAAATTGGCACAGAAAATCATTTAGTTTTATTGTTCGCTGATTGTATGCTTTCATGATTTTGTTAAAAGCACACATGAAAACCACTGTTGGAGCAATATAAATTTAAGTATAAATAAATACCCAGGATGAACTGAGGTCTGGCGATGTATTTAGCATAATTGCTCAAATCCAGCCTTTGGGAGGTAAGTCTACAGTTCCTCTTGGAAGGACATGATCCAAAAAGAGGTCATTAAAAACTGGCACTCTATCCTTCCCTACACAAATCCTGTTAAATTAATGTCCCTCTCAGTGTTTTTGTAATTTACATAAGCCTGTCACACCTGCTGCCAAGACAAGGTCCAAATACTGGGACAAAATACACAGCATTCAAGAGCCCATCAAAGCTTTGTCTCTAGGAGACAATTAATGAGGATATCACTTGTATTTTAAACCTCGGGGAAGGGATTGGCAGGCAGGGCTTGCAGCATTTCCTGTTAAGTGATGTCCGCCCTTCTCATCCTATTTTTCCACATCCCAGCATCAACTGCCAACATACATGAAAGCTGAAGAAACTTTGATTCAAAAGAGACATGTGGCAGAAAGCGTGCCATTTGGACTTACAATCTGTGTGCGTTTAATTCATCCCCTGGTTTTCAACTCAGGAGGGCAGAAGGACGGAAGAGGAGGAAACGGATAAGGGCAAATTTGCCCACCATAGCCTAACAACACTGGGACTATGGTGCGGATGGAAAAGTGAAATGCTTTGAACCACATATAACCATTCTCTGGGATCAATTAACATCAGGACAAAATGAGACCTTTTTATAAAATATTCTAAGTCTTCAATATTCATTGACTGACATCTAGATAACCTATTTAAAAGTCATAGGGCTGTTTAAAATACTCTCCAAAAATAGAGTTTTCTTTCTCTGGATATATATATATATATATATATATACATACACACATACATATATATAAAATATAGACAATATAAATATAGATATGCAGAATTAAAAGCACCTCAGTTATTTTCATAGTTCCCAAATATAAAAATCCTCACAGTATTTTTCCCTCTCTTTGCTAATAGTGTCTCATTCCATCTGCCAGTCTCTCCAACTCCACATTCTGTTCTCTGCCACCTACAAGTTCCCCCACCTTTCCTACTCCTGATTTATATAGTGGTTGCATCATTGTTTAATAAGCCATTGGTAGCTGCACTGTCCTGGAGTTTCACATGGGCACCATTGGGCTGATCAGAGGTCCTGTCTTTCGCTGCTTGTTCCTGGCGAAGCTTTCGGCGGAAGTAGAAGAGGTAGCAGGGGAGCAGAAAGCCCACAAAAGATAAGATGAGGAGGGCAAGGTTCACCTGGGGAGAAAGCAAAGAGAGTCAGTAAGAAATGCTGGCACAACTTCCTGACCTGCCATACAACGAGAACCAAAACTGTCTACAAGGATGGCTGAGGTAGTGTCACCTTCTCTTTCTTGTGGTTCAGTATACACAAACTGTTGTTTCATACACACAATTAACATTATTATATAAAATTACCATTAGCCTTTGTGCATTAGATATATATGAAACATAAAAGGAATTGCATGTTTAGGCTGGTCCCATCTCCAAGATATCGCATTATATCTCTATATGCAAATACAAGTGTTCCAAAATCCATAAATAAATAAGTCCAATCCCCAAAACACTTCTGCTCCCAAGCATTTCATATAAGGGATACTCAAAATATAATAATTTCATTCCCTGTCTACATTTTTTTTCTATTTAGACGTGGCATTTAAATAATATCAGATGCGGTATTTTGGGATTTTGGGTAAGAGATGCTGAACCTTATCTGTCCAACTAATAAATGAGAAGGATGTCTCTATCTCTATGTGTAGTTACATGGATATGCATACCCATTCAGCCACCATCTTGTGACTTCTTCCACTAATTTTACTACACCAGCTAAACACCAAGAACTAGAAAGCCCAGGCCCTCAAGCATTGTAACTGGAGGTCAGCTATGAGCAATGGTGCTGTGGTTTTCTTTGTTTATTTTTCGTGTCAGGGGCAACTTGAGAAACTGCAAGTCACTTCTGGTGTGAGAAAATTCGCTATCTGCAGAGATGTTGCCCAGGGGACGCCCAGATGTTTTGATGTTTTACCATCCTGTGGGAGGCTTCTCTCATGTCCCCACATGGGGAGCTGGAGCTGACAGAGGGAGCTCAACCTGTTTTCCCTGAATTCAAACCACTGACCTTATTGGTCAGCAGTCCTGCTGGCACAAGGATTTAACCCATTGCGCCATCAGGGGGCCCCTTACCAACAGTGCTATAGCTTTTGAAGATGAACAAATCCAAGGCAAAAGGAAGAAATGTGCTAAGAGGAAAGCGTGTCAAGCAAATCATTGTTGTGTCTGCCTTCCATCTGGAAATCTATGTCCTCATTGTTAAATATCATGTGGATCCAGTCATTTATGTATCCACCTCTGGAAAACAATCATAATCGGCCACGAGCAATCGCCCATGAGCTGAGACTACACCAGCACATGCTCGAGAAAGGACGAGTCTTAAAAGCCAACAGGTGTACACGTAACATCACTAACACCAGCAGTCAAATCTGCAAACTAATGGTTCTTCCCGGCTGGAAATTTCTCCCAACCATCTCAGACCTTTCCGAGTGGCTTTATTATGCTTCTTGCCTTTTTCTGCTAACTCTCCATCCAAACTCACTTCCCCTCTCCCCCCCACATGCTCCCTTTTGCTCTTTAAATGTCAGGTTGTATTCTCCAGATGCTGCTGTATGCAGGGTATGATCAGCTCTTTGAGGCTTCTCCTGGACAAACCAGGGACCACAATACATCCCAGCCCCGAAAGGAGGAAGGGAGATTAGGAGATTGAGGGAGGGGGATCTGGAATCACCCCATGAACCCCTTCCTTTCTGCTGATCCAGGGTGCTCTGTGGGGGTCAAGAGTAATGCAAGATTATGGAGACATAGATATTTTTTAAAGGCAAGACTGCTTACTGCAAGACTTTTCCAGAGCACGTATTTTGAAAAGGGCAGGACTGCTGGGATGAGGAATTGTAATCAAGACCCAAATGCTTGGCTGCTATGCCCTTTAGACAGTTTGTTTTAAATAGTCCATGTGAACACCTAATGTATTGTTATTATTTTAAAGTTGTTCTCCAGATATGGACAAAATACCTTAAAAAAAGAAGAGGGGAAACCTGGAATACTCCACAATGAGCAAAAGGTTATCTGGACTTGGGGAAACAGAAAGGGAAAGTGCTGTAACAAATACCACCAAGCCCCAATACATTTGCTCTACCTGGAATGACACAGTTCTGTAAGTCCTTGTCAGATGTTTGTAGATTAATGAATACATTCATGTATACATCCATGAACAGGTGAACGCATGTGTACCGCTTCAAGCTTTTGTGTGTTTGTTTGCTTTCTGGTTTAAGAAGCCCGATACATAATGGATGAAGCAGGAATAGTGAAGGTTGACGCACCATGCCAATATTTGGAGTAGCTTGCAGGCTAACTCTGAACATGCTAGCAAACATGAATCTGGGTTCACAATGCAAGAAGAAATCACCCCTCAAAAACAAGCTCACCCATCCCTCAGAGAAACCATAGCTCACCCAAAAAGGATCACCATTCATTGGCCCCACCATTGCCATGAAAAGTGGCTGCTGGAGGAGAGCAAATACCGCACTGATCAATGACTGCAGGCCGGTCAATGTTCCAAAATGGTTGGATGGATACCTGGCAATGAGAAATGGTATGCAGTGGGTAAGCCTCAAATAACCAGAGGAGGTGTGCTTAATCCTATCCCACATCAACAGGTAGTTATAAAATGGACAGAATTAAGATTTTGTATTATATGCAGAGAACTATCAACTCTCCACATTCACTGAGGTTAAGAGCAAAGGACCCTCATGAAAGTGAATCTCTAAAAACTTTATGAATTTGAAGAAACTTTTATGAAAAATCCAACCTGAAGAAAAAATATTCAGCCACCTTACATTTGACAATAGTTTCTTTCACCTGCTTCTCCTCCACCACCTTTCCCTCGCCTTAAGGAAGATTAGCTGCCATAAGGGGGAAAGATTACTAGAAATAGATAAAAAGAGGAGCATGGCTTCTTGACTGTATGACTTCAATACCCTCCAGCTTTCTTTGCCTGTCACTAGAAAGTGCTCAGTGTTTGAAATAGGATGGATAAACTGTGGGCTTGGTTTGCTTTTTTCCTGTCGCTCTGGTATGGGATTCAAAACTACCAGTATATGGGTAACATTTACACATGCAAGTATACACATACATATGCACCCACCCATCAAACACCCACTGTATATACTAATGTACAAGCTGACTCTATGTATAAGTTAAGGATGGGTTTTGGGGATAAAATAATGGATTTTGATATGACCCATGCATAAGTTGAGTCATACACCAATGCCACTCAAGCATTCGAAAGGCCCAGTGGTGCCATGGCGGAGAGAGTAGAGGGGGTCAGTACTTCTTTTAGGTTCTCCCAAGATGGATTAAGTTTCTGCCTTTTGCCATCCTATTCCAAAAAGGAGGTTGTTCCTTTTATATACAAGAGTTAAGGTACACCCATGGATAACTCAAACCAGTTTTTGAGGGCTGGTTTTTTGACTAAAATTTCTAAACATACATGAGTATATAGGGTAATTCTCTCCTGCATCAGCATAATAGCAATTTTGTTCTGATAACCAAAAAGGAAGCTGCTGTGAAGAGTCTGTCCCCGTCCCACTTTCTGCATCTGCTGTTCCTTCTGTCTTCCCCTGGAATACTCATCCCCCTGGTCTTTGGGTTGTATAGTAAGACAGGCTTGGAAGGGCAAATGAGACTCAGACAAATCCAGAGTGTGTCCTAAGGTGGAGGTGCTAGAAGTAAGGTGGAAAGTGAAAATGGAGCATCTTTTTCAATTGAACTGGTGCAGAGTAGACAATGGGCCAGGGGATAGGGATGATCTGGCATTTCAGATGTTCAACTGCCACATGCATCATATTGTAACACTGGCCAGGCTGGCTGAGGGGAACTGTAGTACAATAACATGCCCCTTGTTCCCACCCAGAACTCCTGACCCATATTCTCTAGTAAAGGTTAAAGGTAAAGGTTTCTCCTTGACATTAAGTCTAGTCATGTCCGACTCAGGGGGTTGGTGCTCATCTCCATTTCTAAGACAAAGAGCCGGCATTGTCCATAGATACCTCCAAGGTCATGTGGCCAGCATGACTGCATGGAGTGCCTTTATAGTGCAGCCCCTAAATCCTCCTTTAAAGCCCCCGGACCCATTTAAAAGAAACATCAGGGTATTTTCCTCCCCAAAAACACTAAAAGTGTGTCAAAAACAGCTCGAAATGCAAAATGTAGCACTTTTGACCCCACCAACTCTCCATGTCCCCCAAAGATTTCAAAAATATTTAAATTGGCCCAACATTTGTTTCAGGCACACTGGCACAGCCTATAGAAAGGGTGGGACTGGCTACACTCCCCACCCCTGCTGTACTGAGAAGGTTCAAGAGTTTCCAAGGAGAGACGCAGACTCACACAGCAGCATAAAGGCCTCCACAGGCTGAATGGAAAAAGCCACGCACCATGGTATGAAGGATGAAGGTCACATACTGGGAAGGAAACAATATATAAATATAAATAAATCTAAATTTGTCACACAAAAGACAAGATACAGAAACAGTGAAGTCATGAAAGTACACTAGGACACATAATAGGGAACTGGTCAAGTTAGGAAATCATTGGCCACTGACAATTTCCCTGCCAGAAAATCCACTCCTGGTTCTCATCTGAAGTTTAAATGTCTGCCCAAAATGTTGCTAAAGTACTTGATGGAAAACTCTTTTAAAGTTCAGTTTAAAATACAGAGCTGATTCACCAACAACAACCCTGACATAAAAGTCATCAGCCATTACTGGAGGAAATACATCAAGGAGCATCACAGGTGAATAAACAACATAGCAAAACTCACCTGAAGATGGAGGTTGTTGATCAGGCAAGTGATACCAAACCCCACCAACATCAGATTGGTGATGACAAAGGCACGGATAGCATTGGTCAGCTTCTGTATCTTACGGTTGCGAACTTTAGGTAGCTTTCCTTTCACTTCAGTCCTAGGACAGCAAATAAAAACTATCAGCCTTTTCCTCCATCATGCACCCCCCACACGAAAGTGTCAGTGCTAGACTAGTTATTCTAGAGAAAGATTATTTTTAGAAGCTGAGAGCCTCTCACCCGGCAGGTCCAGCATGGTCCATATTGCCTGGCCCATCCACGCAATCTTTGATGCGCCAATCCATCACATAACCAATAAAGGGGCAGGTGAGAAGGCACAATAACTGCATGACGCCAAAGATGGAGGAGTAGAAGCTGACTGTCAAGCAAAGAGAAAGGGGACAAAGCGGGGTGGTGCATAAGGAACAGCTTCAAGGTCTCTGGCTAAGTGTTCAATCTCTCAAAGTAATCAAGAATTACTACATAACCTACAAGGAAAAGCATCTCTCTGACACAATATGAAGTAATTCAAAGGTTGTGAGTTTGAATTCCATCAGAAACAGTGCTTTTGAAGATGAAAGCAGATCTATACTGTCTTCAAGAAATCACAGTAAATTTGCAGTAAAACAACCAAAATGGCAAGTTATATTCACAGTGTGAGAGTAACAGGAAGGAACCAAATTCTAGATCAGGGGCCCTCAAACTTTTTAAACAGAGAGCCACTTCACGGTTGGGAGGCTGGAATATAGTTTGAAAAAAGCATGAACAAATTCCTATGCACACTGCACATATCTTATTTGTTGTGCTAAAAAAAATGAAAGAACAACACAGTATTTGAAATGAAGAACAATGCTAATCATTATTACCTGACCAGTATTTCAGTGGGAAGTGGGCCTGCTTTTGGCTGATGAGATAATCAAGTTAATGAGGATTGCTGATGTTGTGTGCCTCCAAGACATTTCAGACTTAGGGCTGACCTCAAGTCTAAAGATTAGGGTGGGAACTGTGTAAATGACCTTGGAGGACTGCATCTGGCCCGCATGCCTTAATTTGGGGACCCCTACTCTAGAGTAGTGGTTCTCAACCTGTGGGTCCCCAGATGTTTTGGCCTTCAACTCCCAGAAATCCTAACAGCTGGTATACTGGCAGGGATTTCTGGGAGTTGTAGGCCAAAACACCTGGGGACCCACAGGTTGAGAACTACTGCTCTAGAGGTTTATAGGTATCTTTAAGATATTGATTAATTTAGAAGAAACCAAATTATCTGCATGCTACTCAGGAATTTGTGGCTAGAAGTGAACAAACATATTAAGAATAGTGCACCAAAAACAATAATAAAAATGAAGGCTCTGCTCAGGCATCCCTCCTGTGCACTTTTGCACATTGTGTTCCAGTGTTTTGATCCAGCTTGACCCAAACTTTTTGGATTAGATTCCTTCCAACCTGGGAATGGGGGATTCCCATCATATCACAACCAGCTGCAAAGTGCCAGGTTGACAGAGGTCTGTATAAATAGAATCATAGCATTGGAAGAGACCTCATGGGCCATCCAATCCAACCCTCTTCAAAACACCCCCAACAGATGGCCATCCAGCCTCTGTTTAAAAGCCTCCAAAGAATGAGTCTCCCCCACAGTCTGGGGCAAAGAGTTCCACTGCTGAACAGCTCTCGCAGTCGGGAAGTTATTTCCAGTGTTCAGGTGGAATCTCCTTTCCTGTAGTTTTGACATTAATATTGAAATCTGAAATATATACTTTATGCCACTGTTCTGTGTCCCAGTCTCTAGTATCAACTGGAGCCCCAATGTATTGTCGAAGGCTTTCATGGCTGGAATCACTAGGTTCTTGTGGGTTTTTTCGGGCTATAGAGCCATGTTCTAGAGGCATTTCTCCTGACGTTTCGCCTGCATCTATGGCAAGCATCCTCAGAGGTTGAGAAGGTCTGTTGGAAGTAGGAAAAATGGGTTTATATATCTGTGGAATGGCTGGGGTGGGGCAAGGAGCTCTTCCCTGCTGCAGTTAGGTGTGAATGTTTAGCTGATCGCCTTCATTAGCATTTGAAGGCCTGCCTGAGTCTGGGAAAATCTGTTGCTGGGAGGTGTTAATCTGTGCCTGGTTTTTTCCTCTCTGTTGTTTAGCTGTTATAATTTTAGAGTTTTTTAATACTGGTAGCCAGATTTTGTTCATTTTCATGGTCTCTTCCTTTCTGTTGAAATTGTCCACATGCTTGTGGATTTCAATGGCTTCTCTGTGTAGTCTGACATGGTGGTTGTTGGTGTGGTTCAGCATTTCTGTGTTCTCAAATAATATGCTGTGTCCAGGCTGGTTCATCAGGTGCTCTGCTATGGCTGACTTCTCTGGTTGAAGTAGTCTGCAGTGCCTTTCATGTTCCTTGATGCGTGTCTGGGCGCTGCGTTTGGTGGTCCCTATGTAGACTTGTCCACAGCTGCATGGTATACGGTAGACTCCTGCAGAGGTGAGAGGATCCCTCTTGTCCTTTGCTGAACGTAGCATTTGTTGGATTTTCTTGGTGGGTTTGTAGATTGTTTGTATGTTGTGTTTCCTCATCAGCTTCCCTATGCGATCAGTGGTTCCCTTGATGTATGGCAGGAACACTTTTCCTCTGGGTGGATCTTCATCTTTACTCTCGTGGCTTGTCCTTGGTCTTGCAGCTCTTCTGATGACAAGAGGGATCCCCTCACCTCTGCAGGAGTCTACCGTATACCATGCAGCTGTGGACAAGTCTACATAGGGACCACCAAACGCAGCGCCCAGACACGCATCAAGGAACATGAAAGGCACTGCAGACTATTCCAACCAGAGAAATCAGCCATAGCAGAGCACCTGATGAACCAGCCTGGACACAGCATATTATTTGAGAACACAGAAATGCTGGACCACACCAACACCACCATGTCAGACTACACAGAGAAGCCATTGAAATCCACAAGCATGTGGACAATTTCAACAGAAAGGAAGAGACCATGAAAATGAACAAAATCTGGCTACCAGTATTAAAAACCTCAAAAATTATAACAGCTAAACAACAGAGAGGAAAAAACCAGGCACAGATTAACACCTCCCAGCAACAGATTTTCCCAGACTCAGGCAGGCCTTCAAATGCTAATGAAGGTGATCAGCTAAACATTCACACCTAACTGCAGCAGGGAAGAGCTCCTTGCCCCACCCCAGCCATTCCACAGATATATAAGCCCATTTTTCCTACTTCCAACAGACCTCAACCTCTGAGGATGCTTGCCATAGATGCAGGCGAAACGTCAGGAGAAATGCCTCTAGAACATGGCTCTATAGCCCGAAAAAACCCACAAGAACCTGGAGCCCCAATATTTTATCTTCAGTTTTGCTTCCCCTTGTTTTTCTAAACTTCTTTGTTCTGTTGTAGCCTGATTTCTCCCCAAAAGACTAAAACAAACATCCAGGACCACCTATTCTATTTGTCAGTGTGGCAGAAAATCAGATGTTCAAAACAATCAGATAAGCTCTTTCTCCACTTTGTGGAAGCCCCCCTCCCCATCAGACAGAATTCAGGTGTGGCAATGACAACAATGAGATTCTGGGTTGTTGTAGGTTTTTTGGGCTGTATGTCCATGTTCTAGAGGCATTCTCTCCTGACATTTCACCTGAATCTATGGCAAGCATCCTCAGAGGTAGTGAGGTCTGAGATTCTGCTCCTTCAGGACTCTAATTTCTCCACGTTGTACAACATTTCCTGCTTAACACATCTGGATTCTCAGGCTGCTTCATAAAAATTGGGTGGCTCTGAGAGAGAGTGACGGAGCATATGATGCTCCAGGCATTGTTTTGATATGATTTGCTCTGCCACTGGGCAGAGCTGATGGGAAATGTAGTCTAACATCATAATCTGGAGAGCCACGCACTCCCCAATCATGTTTTAAAAGGGAGACAAGGGATCCTTTTTTCTAGTTTTCTTTTCCAGGGAAATGGAAATTCTCAGATCAAAGCTTGGATAAATATCGAACAGAATGGGAGGTATCTTGAATAGGACTTATCAAACACACATCAGTGAAATCCTGCTCCAGCATCATTAGCATGCTGACTGCCTACCTGTCTCCTCAGCTTTATTTTGCAGCTCTTCTGGTACTGAAATAGACAACAAAAGAGAAGAATAAGACTACATGACCACAATCAAACCAAAATCTTTCCCCACTAAATAGATTCACTGCTTGAGCACAGCTCCCACACAGTTATTCCTTGCATCATGCCAAACACTCTATTTCTCTTCAATCTCGTGCTTCATTTATTTTCCTTCTGTACCATCCTTCCCTTTAAATTCCATGCTGCTGCTCACTGTCCCTTGGCTGCTGGACACTCTCCCCCCTCCCTTGTAGTCCTCACCAGGGTCTTTGCCGCCCGTCACCTGGAACTCCAGCATCTTGTTCATGGCTGCCATGTAGAAGATGATCCGCAACTGGGTCATGCCCATAGTGAGGAGACTCCACAGAAAGATGGGAGAGCAGACGCTGCGTCGAAAGGGAATGGAGCCTACAGCCAGAAAGAAGGAGTGGATTTTGTGACACTGTGACCAGAAGGAAGTAATGCAACTGTTCGGACAAACAAAAACAAAGGCCTATCCCTTCACACTTAAGTTAGGAGTGAAGAAATAAACTTCTGATAATGACATGAAGAACTGTGTGATGGTGTTTGTTTTGGGGGGATTTTTTTTTGTGTCAGGAGCAACTTGAGAAACTGCAAGTCGCTTCTGGTGTGAGAGAATTAGCCGTCTGCAAGGACGTTACCCCGGGGGCACCCGGATGTTTTGATGTTTTACCATCCTTGTGGGAGGCTTCTCTCATGTCCCCGCATGAGGAGCTGGAGCTGATCATCCACACTCTCTCCGGATTCAAACCTATGACCTGTCAATCTTCAGTCCTGCCAGCAGAAGGGTTTAACCCATTGTGCCACTGGGGGCCCCTAGTGTGGTGGTAATTTCCCCATAAGCTTCCACAAAAGGTGGGGAAGGGACCAGGTGAACCATTCTTTTTAAGTTGTATATCTAAGCATTCGGCTGGTGGGAAGATTAACAGCAGCACTGTGGATTAGGATCTTTCAGAATTGTGAGTTATGGTCTCAGCTCCCCATGCGATAGCACTAGTGGTTTCAAAGGGGAAAGACTATCACTCAGAAAGCTGACCGAGATTTGGAAGGACAGCTGAAGTTTAAAAGATTTTTAATAGGGACTTCTCAAATACAGAACTCTGTAGGCTAGACCTTGAAGAAGAGGACAAGAGTTTTGCATTATCTGTAAAAACTTGACCTACTGAATCAAGACTCTGCAGAACTTCAGCTGTCATTTAAGTATCTTATCTAAAAGATTGTAATAAATGTCTTTCTGGTACAGCTCTTAACCCAGGCCTGCAAGAGCATTTCTACTGGTCTAAAGGGGGAAAAGTTTGGATTTTTTTTCCGTGTCAGGAGCGACTTGAGAAACTACAAGTCACTTCTGGTGTGAGAAAATTGGCTGTTGCAAGGACGTTGCCCAGGGAACGCCCAGATGTTTTACCATTCTATGGGAGGCTTCTCTCATGTCCCCGCATGAGAAGCTGGAGCTGACAGATGGGAGCTCACCCTGCTCCCCAGATTTGAGCTGCCAACCTTTCGGTGAGCAGTCCTGCTGGCACAAGGGTTTAACCCAGTGTTTCTCAACATTCCTAATGCCACAATCCCTTAATGCAGTTCAACTATAAAATTATGTTTGCTGCTACTTCATAACTGTAATTTTGCTATTGTTATCAATTGTGCTGTAGATATCTGATATGCAGGATGTATTTTCATTCACTGGACCAAATTTGGCACAAATACCCAATACACCCAAATTTGAATACTGGTGGGGTTGGAGGGTTGATTTTGTCATTTGGGATTGTAGTTACTGGGATGTATAGTTCACCTACAATCAAAAACCATTCTGAACTCCATCAATGATGGAATTGAACCAAACTTGGCACACAGAACTCCCATGACCAAGAGAAAATACTGGAAGGGTTTGGTGGGCATTGACCTTGAGTTTTGGAGTTGTAGTTCACATACATCCAGAGAGCACTATGGACTCAAACAATGATGGATCTGGAGCAAACTTGGCACAAATACTCAATGTGTCTAAATGTGAGCACTGGTGGAGTGTGCGGAAAATAGACCTTGACATTTGGGAGTTGTAGTTGCTGGGATTTATAGTTCACCTACAACCAAAGAGCATTCTGAACCCCACCAATGATAGAATTGGGCCAAACTTCCCACACAGAACCCTCATGACCAACAAAAAATACTGTCTTTTCTGAAGGTCTTTGGTGACCCCTCTGACACCCCCTCGCAACACCCCAGGGGTCCTGACCCCCAGGTTGAGAAACGCTAGTTTAATCCATTGTGCCACGGGGGTCTCCAGAAGAAAAGGTACTGAGGTTCTTTACAGTAGCAATTTTTTTTCATTATTCCTGTATATGGGTTATATAGGTAGAAATTGTAACTAGGCTCAATTCCAGTTTGTGCTGTGATGTAATGACAATTCCTGCCCTTTTTTCACACTAAGCCTCCACCCAAGAACAAGGGCAGAGAAAGCCTCAGCACTGCCTAAAATGGGCAAGAGCCACTGTTTTCCTCCTAAGCCTAGGAGCAATGCCAAAAGGAAAGTGCAAATGTTCTCTTCTGCCAACAGATGGAGGCAGAGCTCACGGTGGAGCTGGCCAGTCTCTGCCAGCTGCAGAACCTGATGCAACAAGCCCAGGGCCTTGCGAGGACATAGCTGTCAGATATAAATCAATGCCAGAACCACAGGATGTTGTTTCCTATCCACCTCCCCCAAGATGTCTTCGATCTTCCAGATGCCATCAGCCCTTCAAAAAGTGTGGGAGGAGCCTTGAATCACAAGAAAGGTGCCAAAACTAAATGCAGGCTTTATCTTAACAATAAAGCTTTTTGGGCATCCTTGGGAAAGAGAGGGTTGATGCAATGAGAGGCACTCACGCTCAGATGATTTAGAGGGCCCCTGGCAAAGGTCCTGCATAGATGGATACAGCTCCTCCTTGGTTTCTTCCGAATGTGGCACTCGCTGGCTCAGCCGCTGCCCCACAGCCGTCACGTGGACATAGAAGCGGTCGCCCGTTACCTTGTGATCCAGAGCTAGGCTGCTCAACTTGATCTTCTTCCTGTCTCAGAGACAATGTGCAATGGGGAAGATGGGGTGATGATACTGCAACTCTCACCCTCTATCTCCACCATATTAAACAAAGCAAAGCACCTGACTACAGTGGGACATTAGCTTCTGAATTCAGGCTCAGCACAAATGGAGTTGTGTATTTTTTTTTTTTTAAGGGAAGCTCTCTCTCCATCCTGTCCTCCCCAGTGCAGATGTTTCTGTTGTTTGACTGGAAGCAGAAAGGAGGAAGGAGAGAGTTAATGGCAAGAAGGAGGTATGTAGAGGAAGATGAGAATTGGGGGCATATGCCTTAAAACGTGGTGGAAGATTCAGTGTGAAAAAAGGCATGTATTTATAAGCGTAATAGAAGTAGAAAATGGGAAAGCTATATTTTTGGATTGCAACCCCCAGAATTCATAAAGCCATTATAGGAAGTGGCCAGACTATCTGAGGATTCTGGGCCCTGCAGTTCCCAAAAGAAACTCTAGTGCCCTGGCCCTGAGAGAGAAACCCATCAGAGTAGKAATGTAAAGAATATTCAAATTTGTCTCATCCTCAGTGCGAAGAGTAGCTTGGCATACTGAGATGCTTGAAGAAGTGTCAACCACCACAAGATTATTTGCCATTTCAGGACATTTGGGGGGGGGGGGGGTATATGTCCAAAAACATTTTATTGTGTAGAAAATGGTATTTTATGTAAAATACAGTTTTCTATGCCATATGATTTTAATAATAATAGTAATAATTACTTTATTGTTACATCTCCATCTCACAAAAGGGACTTGGGGCAGCTTACATGGCGACCAAGCCCAATATAAACAAAACTGCAACATAACACAATTAAAACACAGAACAATCAACTGTATTAAAACAATAAAACCAATAAAATCTAAGATATCATAAAGCATAACCAAGCAACGAACAACCAATAGCTGAGAAAAGTGGGTATGTGTAGATTTGAGACTAATAGGGCAGGACAGAGCTGTAAGGCCGAGGGCTGGAAATAAAATGCTGGGGATCCTACCAAAAGATGAGAGCTGGGCAGACTTCATCAGTAGCTGATTTTTGCAGGAAAATTAGTGACTTTATTGCACAAATGAAGTTTTACACACACACATAGTCCCAAAGTTTTAAAAAAATGAAAATGTGTGAAATATCACACAAGGGAGAGATACGCCTTTGAAATTATTTCTTCTTGCAGGGAAGAATAAAATAAACAAAGATTTACTTCCTTGAGTCAGAGCAGTTACCAGCACCTGGCATCCTTAGACACTTGCCGGGATTTACTGCCTTGTGCCCTTCCCTCCCCACTTTAATAAAATTTCTAGCCCTATCATGCCAGGCAGCACCACATAGCCAGATCTCCCACAAGGCTCCTGGCACAGCATCATTCATTCTGAAGCAATGCAGAAGAAGCAAATTCCTAATCAAATTGTATGAAGCCAGTTGCCCTCTCCTGAAATCTGCCATCACATTAGTCTGTCCATGCCCGCTGCAGAAGGCACCTCCATCCCAGAAGACACTTCCCCAAGAATAACCTCAAGGGCAGAGCCTGTCCTATTGGGTGTGGAACCACAAAAGAATGGCATGGAGACTGAGATGAATACCAGCAAAACTATGTGAAGGTATGGAACAGCTGAAATGTTGCAGTTTTGCAATCTGGGAAACTATTTCACCTTTCTAACGTACAAGAGCTGCTGGACAGTAGAACGGACTTTCTCAGAAGGTGATGAGACCTTCATCATGAGTTTTTGCTTGTTTTTTAGCAGAGATGATAGGACTGCCTATCAAGAAAGCTTTAGCTAGATATTTAGCCCAGATTTTAGAAAAATGACTTTTTGACCGGCTCTCATAATCCTCCAGCCAGCATACCAAAAAGCATACTAGCTAGGGCTTTCTATGGGTTATAGTAAAATCTTACTCCAAAATCAGATTCGGGCCCTTTCCCCCAGTCTTCTGTGGTATGTCTCTCTTAAGTGACACATCCAATGGAAATCTAGTAATCACCCCACAATGATTCAGTTCTCTTTGCCTGCCCTACATAGAAAATGAGTTTTCCAGTATGTGATAGCAGACAACAGGAGGACAACTCTTTCTAACAAGTACTTAGAGGCAGTCAGTTAATAGCAATCAGTGAACACAATCAGTTGGTCCAGTTGTGGTGGGACATATGTGAAGGCATCTACTTATGCTCTTCCTGTCCCACTGCTGTGGCATCAAATGTGGAGATTTAGATGTCCACATGGCTCCTGTGCAAGACTTTATTCAGCTACTCCCACCAATGAAAACCATCACACTTGAATAACTGCTGCCACCACAGAACTCTGTTTCTGAACTTAAACATTCCAGTAATCCTAAAGTAGCACTTAATAATTTATTAAACAGAAATTCAACATGATAGAGCTTACTTAACACATCTAAATTTTGACTCTTCCTAAGAAACTAATTCATATGTCTCCTAATCCTAATTGACCTGAGTTTTACTCATTTATTTCTGATGCTAACACTCGTAACTATCCAGGTATCACACACCATCCTTTTAAAATCTTACCCAAACCACCAGTCAGTCTCAATATTCCTTACTCTCACCCTCTCCCAACAGATCCTTATCTTGTTAGATTTAGTATATTTCACATAAATATTTACTCTATTTGTATCCTGCCTTTCTCTACCCCGAAGGGGACTCAAGGCAGCTTTACATATCGCAACTGTTCAACTGCTTTGAACCACAAAAAATTAAAATACATTAAGTTAAAGATTTAAAATTAAAATTGACTGCACATTAAAAACAAATAAAACATTACATGCTTTATCTTAAGTTTTGTAATGAATAAACAATTGTTTCCCACAAATTCATAAAATCACAATAACTGAAGTCTACACCATTTTTCACATGTATTCACACCTTGTTAATATTTACTTCTATCAGACACCAAAGAAAAGAAATATGACCCTGAAGGAATGGAAAACAAAAATATGGCCACCCTTCACTCAAGAGACTACAATGGGCCCTTGGTATCTACTAAGGCTTGGTTCCAGGACACCCTATGGATATCAAAATCTATGGCTGCTGCAAAATCTATGGAAGTCTCATTATATGCAATGGCATAGTAAAATGAAATAGCAAAGTCAATGTCTGCATTTTGGATTTTTGGAGGGGAATTATTTTCAAGTTATGGATAGTTGTATCTGGAGTTATGGTGGACCAACTATACATCTGATGGAGGTGTAGCTGGAAGATTAATATTTCACTCACTTTCCCTTGAAACTGGCTCTCTCTACTAGTCAATCTGTCTAAAGAACTAGCGCATGGGTAGCTTTTCCCAAGTGAGACAGAATTGCCATGCAGCTCTACTTACACATAGCTGGTTTCCTCAGGAGCTGGGAAGGACTCATGGGGCCAGTTGATCAAGCAGTTGAGGAAGATGAGGCAAGCCAGACCTGCCCAGACGAGCATGATGATGATGAAGGAAACACCACTGTCATAGATCAGCTAACAGCAAAGGGATAGGAAGCAAAAGTGAAGAGCTGAAGCAGTGGAATAGTGTTGGCCTAAGATGGATTTGGATGTCCTATCAAAGCAATGTCCTATCAAAGCAGAGAGGAAGAAGGAATGGGGACATCTAACTCTACTTAGTGAGATCATTCTACCCACGTGTTGGAAAATGAGTAAATATGAATCCTCTTCCACAAGATGTGCAAGAGATAATGCCCCCTCTATTATTTCTCCCTTCCCAACCTCATGTTTTCCCCATCCCAGCAGAGTTTGGGAAAGGGTCTTTCTTGAACTACAATCCCCAGTCAACAAAGCCAGTCGCCCTGCTGCCTGAAAATTCTGCATGTCGTAGTCTAATGAGTTGCTTTCTGAAACAACATAATTGTGTTGAAGAAGAAGGTCTTCCTCTCCCCTTACCGCCAAATCTATTTGCCTCTCTTTTGCAAAGAGGTGAGATGCATTTCCATTAGCCAGGGGAAAATATGTGGATATACACTCCAGTGCTGACTGAAATACAGAAAAACCAGGCACACTCCACACCCAAAAGTGGAAAATGATTTCCACTTGACTACACTGATTGGTCTAGCAACATACCTTGACACCAGGAAATGTAACAGCAGAAGAAGCATATGAGCCGATCATGAGTGCCATGAAGGTAGAACGTAGATTTCCAAACATGTTGGGCAGCTGAAGACACACAAAAAGTGCAAGAGGTTAGTAGAAATGCCCTGCCTATACAAGCCTCTCAGCTGGTGTTTCAATTAAGAGTAGAATCCTTTGCTTTAAAGGAAACGTCTCTTATTCTGTGACATAGAATACTATGTGTTTCATTACCACTCTGAACCATGCTGGATCACAGGTCTTTGGTCTCATCCATCTCAAATCTTCTCCAGGAGCCCCTTAGCATAGTTCCACAATCCATAAAGGAGAGTCAATTAAAGGCTAGAGTCTTATTTCCCAAGTTAGCCATAACTAAGCTCAATGACAAGCAATTAAATACATTTTATTTAATATATGTGTGCAATCACACTTCAAAAGGACCAAATACATGTGTGTGAATACAACCAGAGAACTATGGAGTAGTCATTATTCCAGAATTATTATTATAGAAACAGGGAATTTCTGACCCTCCAGATCAGGCCTGTACAACCTGTGTCCCTCTAGGTGTTTTGGACTTTGGTTCCCATTGGACAAGCTGGCTAGGGCCTGTGGGAGCTGGAGGCCCAAATACCTGGAGGGACACAGGTTGTGCAGGCCTGCTCTAGATCTTGTTGGACTGCATTTCCCACTGTCCCCAACCATTGCTAATCAATGATGAGATTCATACTTAGATTTTCCGAATACATATGTATGCTCCAGAGCTACCCACTCTTCACGGGTGGCTTGTGGACTGAGCCAGGTGTAATCCCCCACCTCAAGGTGAGGAACCACCCTCTGTTCAGTTCACAAGTAGCCACTGCTCCACACCCAAATGAAAAGGCTTTCTACTTCCCCGCTTTGTTTCTCTCTGGAACTGCCCTGAGACATGGCACAATGCCAACCATGCCCTTTGCTTGAGTAAATACCAATGGATGAAAATGAGTTCTATCAGGCTAGCTTTCTTTAACGTATGCCCTTGCCTAAGGCAAAGGAAGAGAGGTGTGGCACTTAGCTTTGCCTCCTCATTGGCTGGCTGCTACCCATTTGCCACATGTATGTGTACCCTGTGGTTGCTAAGCCTACCTATTCCAAAAACCACTGTGACCTATTAGTAAACTAAGCATAATAGTGCCTTGTGTTCTGGAAATGAGCAGTTACCCCCTCCTTCCCCAGTCAAATGGCAAAGGTGTTAGCTCTGGGTCAGTTCTCTTGCAAGATAACCTTTTTTCCCTCTGCTTTTTGCCAGACTGCATTGGTCTGGTTACAGTGGGACAGCCCAAACTCAAAAGAAAAAGGTCAACTCCATGACATGTACCATTGCAACGTGGAATGTGCCTGTACCAAAGAAGGTGACTGGAACAAAGGACAAGGAAGGACTTTGTAGAATAGGAAATCCCAATTAGCAAGGCCCTTCTCTGCCCTAGACAGATCACACAACATAGCTACCACTTTGATTTAGTTGTGGAACACAATCTTTGGTCACCTTGGCTAGGTTTTATCTTCCAAATCATTATATTTTTGAAAAGGAACAATCCCAGAAATCTCACACAACAGGAAAGTCATGCACACCCTTGTAGGCACACCCACACCGAGATGTTCTGGCACCATCCGGGGAGATCATACGCCTATTCCATCAACACACTCTGAACTTCTAAAGAAAACACATGTACACAAAGAAGGGAAATGTCTGAACCTGCCAAGTTGAATTCCACCACAGTTTCACACCAGTTTAATTGCTAACCTTTTATCAAATCAGACTGTTTTCAAATTAACTTGCACCTGCAGATCAATGTATCTGCAGTAAATTAAAACTTAAAAAGTGCAGAGGAACTCTCAAAATGCCAAAAGAGATGGCAGTTTCAATAAATAAATTAAAACGTACTCAGGCTTTTAATCATGGTCTCAAAGGGCACCTTCATTTTCCATGCTTTTATCCCATATAGATTGGGCTCTCAATGACTAGAAACTAACAAGGCCTGATTTTTGTTGTTGTTGTTTATACATAATCTTTAAGACCACTTGCGCACAGTACCATTTCTGATTGAAGATGGAATTTCTCATAACTGATTCTTTTCAAGGGCAGGCAGGAGGCTGTTGTGAGGGTGGGGGTGGCAAATTATTGAAAGTGGCCTTCTTTCTTCTTCTATTAGCAAAGGTGTATCCTCATTCTGCAAAGCAAATAGCTGTGTTGGGCCCCTTATTTCATGTAATCATTGTTCTGATCCATGTGGACAGACTGCATTGTAAAACTCTATAGCAGGGGTCCACAGACCTTTTAATCAGAAGGCCAGGTGACAGTCCCTCAAACTGTTGGAGGGCCAGATTATAATTTGAAAAAACATGAATGAATTCCTATGCACACTGCACATACCTTATTCATAGTGCAAAAAAAAACTTAAAAACAATACAATAATTAAAATGAAGAACAATTTTAAAAAATATAAACTTATTAGTATTTCAATGGGAAGCGTGGGCCTGCTTTTGGCTGATGTGATAGGATTGTTGTTGCTGTTGTTGTGTGCTTTCAAGTAGTTTCAGATTTGGTTGACCCTGAGCGAGGGCCGGGGTAAATGACCTTGGAGGGCCATATCCGGCCCCCAGGCCTTAGTTTGAGGACCCCTGCTCTATAGCTATACACATAATGAACGTGATAAATGTTTATGTGTGTATGTGGCTGAGGTGTCCACTTACACAGACAGCCTCCGGCCTCCACAAACAGGCTATAGTTCCAAGTGCTGAGAAGCTTCCAAAGGCACTCCCTCCTCTGACATTGCAGGTTACAGTGAGTGCCATGAACATCTAGCCCAAACAATGCCAATGTCCTCCCCAAACACTACAGCCCACCACCCAAGGAATGCTTTCATTCTGGGAGAGTTTCATCCTACATTTGATGTGTTTCTTCCACCACAGGCAGGCATCCCAAGGTTCCTTGTGTGGAATTTGCATGACTACACCTACTGCCTTAACCCTTTCCTACCCTTTCATATGGCACACAGAAAACACAGAGGAATTGATCAGCAACTGAACAAACTGGAAGGGTCCGACAATGGCAGAGAGAAGCCCCCTGACCAACTGAACATACTGCAGGGGCTTGGGGGAAATGACCTTGATTTTGGGAGATGTAATTCACCTGCATCCTCACAGCACTCAACCCAGCCAATGACAAATCTGGACAAAACTTGGCGCGCACACCCAACATGGCCAATTGTGCTTACAGGCCTGGTTTGGGGAGGATTGATCCACGATTCTGGGAATTTTAGTTCATCCACATCATTATATATTTTCTAATGGGACCATTCATAACAAAGAAATCAAAGACTGGCTTTTTCCTAATAAATAGTGCTACTAATTAACAAAATGATCTGACCTAACACCCCAAAACAAACAAACAAACAATGCCTTTCTCAAACAACCCGGGCACTACTGGGTACCCAAGCTAGTATATAATAAAAGAGCGCTTCATGGTGAAAAGAAAAATATGAAACAGGAAATATAATAGATTTTTTTCCTTTCAAATTGTCCCAGACAGGTTCAATAATAAGAGGGTGCTTTTCAAAACTGTGCCAAGACAGAGATTTCATAATTTGCCTCTGGCAAATGGTTTTTTTTTACAAAGTTAAGGAGATGGATTTGCATGACTACCTATCAAGCACATTCTTCCCCTAAAGAAGGGATCATTTCAGTGTTTACTTGCAGAGCACAAAAGAAAAACCCACAAACTAGTTACAGCTCACATCCAGGCCCAGAGACTGTACTGTAAATCTCCAGAAATGCGTGTGAATCACTATGGCACAAAAACCTTAATTCTAGATATAAGCTCTCATGATTTTCCCAAGAAGAGCACAAGAAGTCCAGCATATAATTACAGTTTTCATCCAGAGTTTGAAACATTACTAATGGGATGTGGTCTATTATATTACTCATTTCTAGTTGCTTGAGATAATTTGTTGTTACTATCAGGCCTGTAGCGAGGGGGTGGTTTTAGGGGTTCAACCCCCCCCCCAAATGTTTCAGATTTTTTTTAAAAAAACCTGGTTTACTCATGAATTTTAACTGGTTAACCAAATCCCCATGCTAAGTCTATGAGATGCAAAAAATTAAGAGTCCCTCCAGAACTGCAAGCACTATCTCAAGCAAATATTGACAATTTATTCACACTGTCATTACTTGCAGCAATAGCCGATGTAGCGAAGCAACCAAGTTGGGGGTGTGTGTGTTGAATGCTCTCATTAAGGAGGCCAGACTTGGTGGAGGTGGTTGACAGGGGCGGAGCTGCAGGCTATTGAAGGCTGCTCTGCCCCCTGCTGTGCTCTTTGCTTCAGCATGAGCTAGGAGGCAGGTTTCAACCCCCCCCCCGAAATTTTCAACCCTCCCCGAAATTTTCAACCCCCCCCCCCCAAATTGTCAACCCTCCCCAAAAAATTTTTCTGGCTACGGCCCTGGTTACCATCATCTGCATGGGATATATAAGCTACTTTCCTTTCTTGGCCATTTTTTGCCTTTTAGGTTTTTTGTTCTGCAGTGTGTACTTGTTAAACATTACACAGAAACACACAATACCAAAAAATAACCTTTTTAAAGAAAAAAGTTACTCCTTTTCTCTCTTTTTAAATCACTTTAAACTGCATGATGGCTTGTATCAGCACTCCAGTATTATTACTCTATACTGCCCCCAGGTGCTCCATTAACTGCAAAACTATTAATGCTACGACAAAGCTTCCTAGAGGAGCATTAGTCTAGTAGAGAAAGCATGCACTATATGCTCCATGTGATTTGCATTTTATCTGCAGAAAGCAAAAGAGAAATAAAGACGCTTAGTTGGCAGAAAACACATGCGGGAGATAGCCAACTGTAAGTTATCAAAGCGAAGTCTGGTAGCATAATGATATACCCTCCAATATGTCACAAACAAAAACTGGGAAAAAACCAGAGTGTAGGCAAGATGGCAAAAGTTATTAATGAGGAAGAACACACAAATGAGGAGAGGTTACAGCACTTTGTTTATGCCTTGCCCCTCCTTTCCCCCAAATGAGCTAACCGAGGCTGGAGCTACACTGCCATATAATCCAGTTTCTGAATCCAGATTACCTTCTTTGAACTGGATTATGTGGCAGAGTAGACTCATATAATCCAGTTCAAAGCAGATAATCTGGATTCAGAAACTGGATTATATGGCAGTGTAGATGGGACCTGAGTGGAAACCACTTTTGCACTTTATGTTCAGTTTTCAGCAACTGGAATAAGTAGAGGTCAAATGGAGAAGATGGGAGAAGAGGAAAAAGGTAACTGGGTTTTTTTTAGAAGTAGCTAAAAAATGGAACAACAGAGATTAATCAGGCCATGCTCTGTCAAAGCAGGGTGGTTGGCTATATGCAATGAACACACACACTATTTCTTATGCTAATGTTATAACATTCATGCATTAGCTTTGCAGTTGGCAAAGGCAACAGTATTATCTCCTCAATAAACACAAATGGTAACACGTTTTAAGCAACATTGTTTCTCACAACATAATTTTTCCAGTTTTCTGCTCAAATGCATGCGCTGTCTTTATTATATACTTAAACAACATATATTGCTATACTGATTACCAGACTACCCTGTACCTAGTACTACCTAATAGGTCTCCTATTGTACAAACAGGGCTATTTGTGATTTTTAAAGCCAGGTGATAGAAATATACTGCTCAATCCGCAGCTCACAACCAGACACATCTTGCGCCATAAATCTCACAAATGCAGCACTTCAAGGCATAGCTACGGCATCAAAGCCTAGATAAGAGGCAGCGCTTCTTCCACATTCATATTGTTTACATAGGGAGACATCAGAAATGCACCATTATATATCAAGAGTATGCCCACAAAATGTTGGACCTACTGATGTGTATGATGCAGATTGCTATGTCTAAAAATGCAAGTAAATAAAAAATAAACCAAGATGACCTGTGACCAGGGTACAGTATACAGATGGAAGCATCTGTATAAAAACAAGAGGGATCCATATATATTGACCAAAGATTCTGTGACATGCCAGATCCTTGTTGTAAGATAAAGCTGGTGAACATGTATGTGCAATTTATGGATTTGAGGAATTTCTAGGGAAATGAAGATTTATGTTTCTAATAAAGATTTTTGTGCCATACAAGTGACCTGAAGTGCTGGATCTATAATTATTACAGAATGCAGGTGTGAACCAATGTTTGATAAAGGACTCGGGATACCTCAGTGCAAAAATGGTTCCTTCTTGATTCCTTCAATTTCAAGGACAGAGTGGAGAATCCAGCATGGAATACAATTAAGATACAAATAACTAAGGGCCCTTCCATACAGCCATATAACCCAGAATATCAAGGCAGAGAATCCCATAATATCTGCTTTGAACTGGGTTATCTGAGGACCCTTCCATACAGTCACATAACTCAGAATATAAAGGCAGAAAATCCCACAATATCTGCTTTGAACTGGGTTATCTGAGCCCACGCTGCCATATATTTCCGTTCAAAGCAGATAATGTGGAATTTTATTCAGTTGCATGGAAGGGGCCTAAAAGTACCTAAGATATAAAAAGCATAGAGTAAAAGAGGAACTAGTACACAGTATGTAAAATAAGAACATCCAGCATTATAGGTACCCAAATCAAATGCCACCTCCTGGATACTAAGCTATACAGTGAGGCTGAATGGAAAAGTCAGACACGGAGGCCACTCACATGATGCCAGCACTGTGAGCCTGCCCTGTCTCAAGAAACCCTAAAGCCATACTTGTTCTTGACGATGTGCTCTATCAGTCCTCCATGTTCCAAAAAGATAAGCTACCAACGCAGTCAATGCAGTGCCCTGCCTCTGCCACTCCCCTGCCCATTAGCCAATGTTAAGACTTTTCTCCATTACTTCCTGTTGGTTAACTTTTTCTTAGAAAGCACGCAACAGGTAATATCTCCTGCCTAGTGTAGCAGAAGTCAAAAGAAGGACAAGGGGTTATGCCTGCTTAGGACATGTATTACAGAGAGAACTTCATCATGGTTAATATTGCTATAAAAAGCTGCAGCTGCCCAAAAAGCTTCTTCTGCACCACTACTGAAGCAATGTTGGCAACCTATGGCTCTCCAGATACTGCTGGAGTGAAGCTCCCATCACCCCTAGCTAGTGCCACCACAATCTACCACAATATTTTGGACTGCAACTCCCTGGAACACAATGCCTGGCCATTGGCCACATCAGGTGGAACTTATGCAAGTTGAATTTAAAACAAATTGAGAATATCAGGTCTCCCCCTAACTTTGAAAACCCAATTCCCAAATTCAGCCAAATCTACCTGAAACTATTTAAAAAATCACCACAATTAAGCCCTTGTGCCGGCAGGACTGAAGACCAACAGGTTGGTGGTTTGAAGCATAGATGAGCTCCCTCTGTCAGTCCCTCAAGCTCCCCCCCCCCCCCCCCAGGCTACATGCCTGCCCAGAGGCCATATCCACACTGCAGAATGACAGCAGTTTGAAACTGCCCAGATGTCTGGTAGTGCAATAGGTTAAACCTTTGTGCTGGCAGGACTGCTGAATGAAAGGTCAGGTTTTGAATCTGGGGAGCAGGGTGAGCTATCATCTGTCAGCTCCAGCTTCTCATGCAGGGACATAAGACAAGCCTTCCACAGGATGGTAAAACATCCGGGCATTCCCTGGACAACATCCTTGCAGACGGCCAATTCTCTCACACCAGAAGCAACTTGTAGTTTCTCAAGTCATTCATGACACGAAAAAACCCCCACAATTTATGAGTATGTGTGTGTGTGTATTTTACAATTTATGTTTTCTGGGGTATGGCCTTTTTCTGTATTTTTAAATGATAGTAGTAATTGGGAAAGTGCATTTTTTGCCTAACTATCCCCTGAATTCTCCCAAACCAAGTAGGCCATTGGCTATACTGGCCTGGAAATTATGGGAACTGCAGACCAAATAAAAAGTCATTTTCTAAGTTCTAAGTAAGAGGTTAGGCCAGGAATAGTAAGGTCTGGCAAGATGTCCACATGCACTTGATCTGCAGGCAGGTACCCATCTTGCTGACTCCCACAGAACCCAGAAAAAAATCCTGAGAAAGAAAAATGGGTTGATAATGAGCTTCCTCAGAATACTTCTTTCTGAGCCAGCAGTCAAGTCTTCTGATATTTTCAGTTGCTATGAAAAGGAGCAATAACTACAGACCAAAGCAGACCTTGTAGGCTGAAGTCTGAACTAGAGCTGTGTGAAACCTCCACAGAAGAATGGAAGAGGAATTTGTACCTGTACCTTTTTTGTCATGTCATCTCCTGAAGATACAGCAAACCTAACTTTTTACATGATGAAATGCCTCAACTGTGTAGTATCAGTCTTTACTTACCGTGAGGGAGGTGAAGGTCAGGCAGATCCCACCAAAGCCGTTCAAGGAAAGGCCAAGAAAAATCAACGGGGAAAGGACTGGGAAAACAGAATGGAAACATGACATAGATGATCATGAAAACAGTATGTGTGTGTTTGAAACAAAAAAAATCCAGGAAAAAAATGGCATGGAGATCTGAAGTGACATCAGCAAAGCTCAAAACACAACATTAGCCAGCTATGATGAGGGACTGAAGAGATGAAAGTCTGCAATTCTGCAAAACTGGTGAACCAGCCCATCTTCCTAGCATGTTAGAGGTGTTTAGCAGTGAATCAGACTATCTCAGAAGATGGCATACTTTCCTTCATGGTTGGGTTTTTTCTCCTAATAGAGGTGAGATAGCCTCCTTTCAAGGATGCTTTAGCTGTGGCTTTCTGCACTGGCAGGAGGGAGAAATAGAAGTCCCTCCCAAATGTACTTTTCTTTTTTTTTTCTGAAGCCATGGCACATTCCCTAGCACAAGGTCTCAAGTCCCTGCATTCCTGACTGCCCTGAGACAAAGCAAGGGTCCCTCTTGCTCCAAGAGGCAGAAGACAAGAGGGCTAATAGGGCCAGGAGACTCAAGGTCACAGAGGTATCCATCTTTATAGCTGGAGAGCTCTCAGTAAATGTTTTGGTAGATGCCTCTATAGATTACAACAGGCATGGGCAAACTTTGGTCAAAAAGCTGTTAGGAATTGTGGAAGTTGAAAACCAAAACATCTGGAGGACCAAAGTTTGCCCATGCCTGGGTTACAACTTTGCAATTCACATTATAAACCCATCTGAGAGACCAAGTTGCTCATTCAGCGAGCGATATAGTTCTCACCTGGTGGGTTGTATGCAGCCAGGGCCATGAAAGCACAGGAAATGGCAAAACTTGCACTGCAAAGAAAACAACAGACTCTTCAGAATGGAGCTAAGTCACATCCCCAAAGAGATGCTCCATCATCATTTTGGGAAATCACATCCATATTCCTCCACATGCCAAATCTATTCTCATCCCCACCCCGACCACATTTATTCCCTTCCAAGTAATTCACTCTCAGGCCTGGCCCAACCATTGGTTAGGCAGCTGTCCCAGAGTGACACCACACAGACAACCTCATGACTCTCCCTCATGAATGCTCTGGTTGTCTTCCCCTATTGTAAATAAAGAGCAATGCATATTACACAACTTGAGATGGGGGACTCAACATTGGCATGCTGGCTTAAGAGGTAGCGTGGACAATGCAAGCCCATTAACAGCATTGAGGGAAGGGTCACTCCAGTCAACTTCTGTGTGTGCGTGCAGACTGAGGAATGGGTATCCATTTGTCCTTTTCTTGGACAGAAAAATATCTTGAGCTAGCCCTGAGTCTCTAAACCTCTTTAAATTTCCTTCAAAGCAAGAATCTGCCAATATTCCCTAAACACTTTCTCCTTCCCAAGTATAAGAATATCTCAGTTAACAAAGCAGTTCCTCCTTTTCTTCACACCTTCCACTTTTTCTCCCTGTCTTTCTTCAATTCAAAGTTTTTTAAACAACATTGGTACTGACAAGGTGGTGAAGAATAGGAGGCACACAGACTCTTAGTTCCTGAGTTACAGCTGAAAGACTGCAGTTAACAGTGCAATACAGCTTGACCTGGAAAAAGAATGAGATGCTCCTAAATCAGTCCTACCCTAGTTGTGTGTGCTTGTAACAGCAGCTTCCTCCAAAATCCCCCACAAGCACATGTGGACAGCAAAACTGAGAGAAATGGGAAGCTGAATTAGCCTGCCTCAGCACTTGCCCCAGCATAGAGCTGAAGTTTGGACAACAAAAGCAAATCATGACAAAAACAGGGGGTAGTGAAAGAAAAATCCAACTCCGGATGCATTTCGGAAGAAGCTTTCAAGTAATCTGTAGAAGGTTCAAAAATGTGGTTATCTGCTTATACAAGGTTTACCTGACCTGGTTGTTTCATTTCCCATATGTATACTGCTAAGATCAGAATAAAAACTTTGAAGAAATATATTGAATTGTTCTTCCTTTTTTGTGGTATAGAAGTGTATCCCTATTCTTTCCATGTTATTTCTACCTCCAGTCCAATTTTTTTGTTAAAGCAATTGCTACTTCCTTAATGGAGGCATTTTCCAAGCATTCTGCCATTTGGACACCTTTCCAGTTCCTACCTTCCGATCAGGCGGAGTGGCCTTGGGCCAAGCCGGTCCATAAATATCCCAAGAGGCAAGGTGGCAGCACTCAGTAAGAAGGAGCCGATGGTGAAGCCCAGGTTGAGCATTTCCTCCTGTTCCACACAGCTGGGCCAGGGGTGAGACGTATTGACCACACCAGAGCTATTAGTACTATTTTCACCTTAAAGGAAAAAGACAAACAGGATCAGCTCCTTCCAACACAAAACTTATCCTGCCTCTCCTTGGGTGCATTTACATTGTAGGATTAATGCAGTTTGGTCCCATGGAATAATGGAACTTGCAGCTTTATGTGGCCTGTGTACTCATATTTTGTAAGGTTGAGGAAAAGTTAGAGGATGGGGGCTGGGGGGACTAATGTAGTTTGGACACATTTTGGTCAATTAAGCACAAAAAATGCCCCAAAATCAACCTCATTCTTTAAGTCTCCAGAGTCACATGTGGCCCACAGGCTGTACTTTGTTCTCACCTATATTAGACTGTGTATAGAATTACAACCATTCAAAAAGAAATCTAAAAGCACAAATGTATACTAAAACAAAGGTTTCTTTACATGTAAAATGATCTGTTCCTCAAGGCCTGTTGGGACAGAAAGTTCTTTACCTGCAGATGAAAGGAAGCAAGAGGGGAGATAACAGACTTCACATGTGCTGTGAGGGAAGGAAAGCTGTGTCTTGAGGAATGTGTGCTTATTGAGGGAATAATTGCTTTGACCAGCATTTACAAATGGGAACATGGCTTTCTAAAGTTTTTCTCCACAGCAGGAGTGAAATGAGACAACCTCCTGTTATTTGTGAATGATTGGATGGGGGAGTGGCTACCTGTCCAACATGAATGAAGTGTGGAGGGTAATGAACTCCAGAGTGTAAGAGTATGAAAAGAAAACTTTGGGGGAAACGATGGTTCTGCAGGAAAGAGACGGATTTCTTTGGGCAGCAGTCTTTGGGGAAAAGAGTGGAAAAGCAGAGCATCACTGCTCGTGGCTAATCCATATATCATGTTTATCATGTGATGACTTAACACTAGAGTCCCCTGGCATGTTTTATTTTCATTATACTTATATATTTTGTCCTGTTTATACTCTGTCCTTTAGACAACCCTCAAGTGGCTAACAAAAAGGTTAAAATAACCAGCCATAAAATACAGTAAACAAACATCCAGAGAAACCAATAAATTATCAGCAGTAAGCTTGACTGCAGCTGTAGTTAACTGCTCATGAATGCCTGGATAAAGAGATGGGGTTATGCTTCATGTCAAAAAGTCAAGGAAGTTAGCACCAGGTGGGTCTTTTGGGGGTGAAAGCATACCAGAGTCGTGGTGCCATTTCTTGATATATCTCCATCACATGGAAGATCCTCTCTGCATGTAGAACCATCTCTCACAAGCCACAGCCAGTGTCATTTCAGACAATGATTGTGAATGATGGTCACATGATAAAAAGTGTGGGGTGGTGGCTAACACTACTTTATAGTGGCAAAAATGGAATGCCATTGTGTGGAAATTGTTTCAAGCAGGCAGTTTCCATGTCTTTCTTCTAATGGACTTACCTTACATGTATTTAATGTATGTATGTATTTATTTATTTCGAGCATTTATATCCCATCTTTCTCACCCTTGAAAGGGGACTCAGGGAGGCTTACAACTCAAGGCAGCTTACAACATTGCATCAGTCACACATATCCTAAAAATAGAATATGGAGTTGTGCCCATTTCTAATTACTCTCTCTCTCGTTCACTCTCTTATCAAAGCCATCTCTACAGTGCAACACTAATGTCAGAATCATCCTTTAACTCTGCTCCCACCTCCCACCAAGCCCCATTGACAGAACAAGTTTGACTGGCTTTTAAAATGTCACCAATGTAGTGACAACCCCAGGATGAATGCATATCTCAACCAGAGCTTAGAAAATTTCATTTTTTGGAATATAGCTGCACAACTGCCCAGCCAGTGTGGGTCCTAAGAAGTGTACTTTACAAAAGGTGCTTCCCCAAGTTCTGGCCTCACAGTTCAGAAGGGCCTGTGTGTTTCTATCTAGGAATGGGTGATGGAGGGTTCAGCTCAAGGCACAATGTAACGTTCAGCTTGCCCTGTTTTGCCTCTCTGTTCTTCTCAACTTTCTTACTCGCCCTCTTGGCACTCACCTGTGCACACATGGGAGTAGAAGCCTTCATGTTTGAGCATGATGAGCAAGGAGCCCCAGCCCAGCAGAACTGCTGAGAAGAAGAGATTTTCCACCACTGCAGTGCAGGCCATCCACCAGCGACGCTGGTAGGCCTGCTGCAGGGTTGGCGCCATCTTCCTTCTGGAAAGAAAGAAAGGCTCAACTGTCACTCTTCCTGCCCTCCATTCTCCTGGTACCCAACCCACAAAGACAAACAAGGCCAACCAATGCATGCACACTGCAAGCTACTGTGAAGCAAGCAAGACCTTGAGGTGACCGGGGAATCACAGGAAGCAGCAGGAAAGAGACTGGATGCAAAGCACAACACCAGCTGCCACTTTACAGTTAGGAAGTCATGAATGAAAAAACAGAGATCAGGGTAACTAAAATTAGATTAGTCAACTAAAATTAGATTTAATGCAGCACCTTGCCTTCATAAGAGAAGATACATGTCTGAGAATGGCTTTTCTGATCATTATAAAATGAGAAGTAAAAAAACAGATACCCGGAGAAAGGAAAACAAAAAGGGGCAAATCTTTGCAGAGGGGAAGTACATAACACGCAACTCTCTCACACACACACGGTGTCCAGGAGATAAACAGCTGCTAGAATTTCACACCCTGCTCTCTCTCCCCTTGGCCACGCTGTCACTTGCATTGTGGCTACTGAAGTGAGGGGAAGACAGCCTGGTTGCAGGCAGAGGGCTAAGAGAAGCTGGGAGGCCAAAACCCTCCCCCCACCACCACCGCCACCACTTCCTAGAAAAAACATACATCAGATATGCCACCTGCTCTCTTGAGTCACTGCACATTTTGTTCCCCTCTCAGAGTCCTTTTTCTATGGAATTTACAATGTTTTTCAAAAAATTGTGGTGGAGTGGCTTATGAATTACATTGAATTATAACAACTACCATTTTAAAATTGCAGTGTTTGGATACCAGGGGAAATGAGGCACAGTGGCATCTTCATAAGAAGACATCTGAGCTCCACACAAGGCAAGATTTACTTTCAGAAATGGAGCCTTTTCCTGAGTCACTTAAAACCTTTCAACTCAGGTATCTGTTTTTGGGAGCCAGTAGCAATGTTGTGATTAGAGTCTGAGACTAGGGGCCCTTCCAGACAGGCCCTTTATCTTGGGATCTGATACCAGGTTTTCTGTTTATCCCAGATTATCTGGCAATGGGGACTCATATGATCCAGTTTAAAGCAGCAAACATCGAATCAGATCTTGGGATATAGGGACTGTCTAGAAGGGCCCTAGGACTCAAGAAACTTGGGTCCAAAACCTTACTCAGCCTTGAAACCTAACTATAGATCTAGGCAAGTTGTTCACTTTCAACCTAACCAGTAGGGAAATGAAGCAATAAAGGACTATGTATATAGTCTTGAGTCTTTGAAGGAAAGTAGGCATATAAATCATGGAATAAATAAAAGATAAAGAAGTATTGCAAGCATAGCATTGAAAAGACCTAAGCCCTATACAGCCTTCAAACTCTGTAGAGTGAACACATGTGGAAAGAGTATGTCATGAGACACACATTTGCTTGATTATCTGTATCAGTGGTTCTCAACCTGTGGGTCCCCAGATGTTTTGGTCTTCAATTCCCTGAAATCCTAACAGCTGATAAACTGGCTGGGATTTCTGGGAGTTGTAGGCCAAAACACCTAGGGACCCATAGGTTGAGAACCACCGATCTATATGAAACCTGCATTTGTGCAACTCTTTCTGCAAAGGTTTTAGGCAGCTATTCAATTAAATGCAACTTGTGTTGATGCATTTTAGTCAGTAATGTCCACTGTGTGCCGTTTGGATACTTGCATGACTGTGATTCATGAGGTGCCTCCACTGTGAATGCATTCTCCTTCTCTCTCAATCCTGGCTTATATCACAAAGCCAATGACAATATCTTGGTCTATCTCGCAGGGCTATTGTTCAGGGCTAATGAGGTTATGGCCATAAAATACACGAAACATATAGAAAGTTGCTGCTGTATTATCAAAGGTGAAGTATTATGAGTTGCAAAGGAAAGGTCAAAAAACCCAACTGCATCATCATGTGCCTTCACGCAGAAGCCAAATTTCTCAACCGCGCAACCTTATCCTTACTTGTAAGGGCTCCAAGTGTTATGCCAACTTCCTGAGTCCTGAAAGCAGTCTTTTGATTCTGAACATTTGGGGTCAGTGCATCTGCTGACGTCCCACAGATACTACAGGACGGATCTTGTCTGATCGAACTGTTTCTGGAAACAAAGCAGAATTAGGAAGTCAACAGCCTGGTAATGAAAACCAGAGATGACACTAAATCCAAGGGCAAATTCATAAACAAACATAAGCAGAGAGGGGAACAGGAAGCCGATCGTTCTTTCAGTAGGAAGATCAAGAAAAAGTGCCAGAAAACGACACCACATGATGTAGCAAGCAAGCTTCTAAAAAAATAATGGAAAAGAGGAGGCCTTAAACACAGATGTTCCTTATGGAATCCAGTGCCAGAAAGCAGCTGTAGCTTGAACCACTCATGAAGGAAATTGTAGTACAGGGCCATGCTGTTGAACACAAGGGAGCATTGTAGAAACTGGAAAAAAAAGAGCTGTCCCATTCAACAGAGATGAGGGGCAGTCAGGAGATGCAGATGGTCAGATTCCTTAGGCTAATATGAATTGCCCAGGACGTCAGGGACAGAGTATAGAAGGTTACGTTTTCAGACGATAACTCCCAGAAGCCTTCTCTCTCACTGAACTACCATAGATATGCTTTCTGTGGGATTTTGGAAGTCTTTCTTCCCATTACCTCAAAAGTAAATTTCACAAATTTCTGAGTGTAGGAAATCGATGGCATGGCTGGAATGCTCTATTCATGCAGCAAGAGATGGGATGGAAGAACTGATTTGGTAAGGAACATGCTGGTATCATTATTTTCTTATTTAATAACTGCCCTAGGTATGTATTGTCAAAGGCTTTCATGGCCAGAATCACTGGGTTGCTGTGAGTTTTCCGGGTTGTATGGCCATGTTCTGGAAGCATTCTCTCCTGACGTTTTGCCTGCATCTATGGCAGGCATCTTCAGAAGTTCAAGGGTCTGTTGGAAACTAGGAAAATGAGGTTTATATAGAATGTTCATGGTGGGGGAAATAACTCTTGTCTGTTGGAGGTAGGTGGCCAATTGCAACATTCACAGGTACCTCTAGTAGAGAAGAGTACTTTCCCCCACCCTGGACAGTCCAGAGATATATAAACCTCACTTTCCTAGTTTCCAACAGACCTCACAACCTCTGAGGATGCCTACCATAGATGCAGGAGAAATGTCAGGAGAATGCTTCTGGAACATGGCCATACAGCCCAGAAAACTCACAACAACCCTGCCTTGGGTATATTTATATACAGGAAGAGGGAATAAAAATGACAAAAATAAAGAATACACTCTATAATATTTTGTCCCTTTTTCACCAGGATTGACTCCATAGTAGAAGCACACTCGTATGCTATCAGAACAAGTCGGATTGAAAACAAGACTATTCAGAAGAAAAGACATTTTTGTTCCTCATGCAAGCACTGAAAGAAACCTTGAAAGCATCTGGGAAGCATGTGCTAACAATTAAAAAGGGAGCCGAGATAAACATCTACAAGAGCGGCTGCAGCACAGCCCTCCGGCAGAAAGATCTAGTCCTTTTCCTCTTTTGCGCAAAGCCATGCTCATAAAAAAAGGAAGTTGTAGCAATTGGGTGGGAGCGAGAGGAAAAGGCCCTCAAATTGCTGAGAATCATAAAGTTGAAGTTCAAAAGTTAGAAGTATTAAAGCAAAGTTGCCTAATGTATTCTGAGTTTTGGCAGTCATCTGCTCCAGAAGAATCTCTTCACACCCATATGTTTGCATGCATGCGAAAGATCACTTGGTATAGTCTATTGTTCATACGAATGGTAAAGCCCCTGGTGATGCAATGGGTTAAACCCTTGTGTCAGCAGAACTGCTGACTGACAGGTCAGCGGTTCAAATCCAGGGAGAGAGAGTTGAGCTCCCTCTGTCAACTCCAGCTCCCCATGCGGGGACAGGAGAGAAGCCTCCCACAAGGATGGTAAAACACCAAAACATCCGGGCATCCCCTAGGAAACGTCCTTGTAGCTGGCCAATTCTCTCACACAGAAGCAGCTTGTAGTTTCTCAAGTTGCTCCTGAAATTGAAAAAAAATGAACGGTAGTCCAGAACTTAGGGAAAAGTTGTCCTAAAATAACAACAACAACTATTGTTGTTATTCCTAAAATAACAACAACAACAACAACAACACTTTATTTATAACCCGCCCTCTCTCCCTAAAGGTGGGTTTTCAAAGAATAACAAAAATGGCAAACATTCAACACTGAAACGGACAAACAACAATCAAGACGAAACATGAAATAAAACAAACTCAGTATAACTTATAAACAACAGAAAATTAACCAAGGATAAACTATGTAAACATAATATAACACAAAAAGTCAAACCAATTGAAACATAATACATTAAAAGCATAATATTGTATGCTTTCCCTTAGCACTGACTATAGTTGTTGGGGAGTCTGGGTTTTTTTTTTGTAATTCATGGGGTAATGTCTTCAGAGCTCCAGATGCCACCTTAATGTAAGCAAGAACTACAACATGGCTCCAAGAAGGTATGAATGCCACATCTGTGCTTGTAACTGTCTGCATCCATCCACTCCACCCTTTTGTACCAGCTGGCCAACAGCATGGTAACAACTGGATTGAATTGCTGTGAGTTGCTGTGAATTGCATTGCCCTTTTGGTGGCTAAGGAGCCTCCGAGTGTGGATTTAAACAGCCTTTCACTAGGACTGAGCAAGGCAAGAAAAACACACTGGAAGGGAGGAGCTGTCATGTGAGCAGGCCTTAAGAAAATACTTCCACAAGCAAAGACATGATGTGAAAATGCATCTAAAGACACCAGTCCACTAGAACCCATTCCCACAATGATCTCCTCAGAGTTACGGGTATGGCTGAGGATACTCTGAGTAACAGTTTACTTTTCTGATGGATCCCAACTTGGTGTTATCATATCAGTAACAGCTGTGGATAGAAAATTCTTTCCCTGAAACATCGTAACAACTTAACATCCCAAGAAGAGAAAGCCTAAAATGCTGAATGGAGCAGTACCCAGATTTAGGACCTTCAGCTAAGATAGAATCCTAGAATTGGAGGGAACCAATCCCCTGCCATGCAGGAATACACAACTAAAGCACTCATGAAAGATGCCCATCCAAGATCAGTTTAAAGACCTTCAAAGAAGGAGAGTCCCCCACCCTATGAAGCAATCTATTCCTCTGGGTTGCTGTGAGTTTTCCAGGCTGCATGGCCATGTTCCAGAAGCATTCGCTCCTGACGTTTCACCCACAACTATGGCAGGCATTCCACAGCGATATAAACCCCACTTGCCTAGTTTCCAACAGACCTCACAACCTCTGAGGATGCCTGCCATAGCTATAGGCAAAACATCAGGAGAGAATGCTTCTGGAACATGGCCATACAGCCCAGAAAACTCCCAGCAACCCAAAGATTCTGGCCATGAAAGCCTTTGAAAACACAATCTATTTCTCTGCTGACCAGTAAAAAAAAAGTTTTAAAGTTGTTCCAAATGTTTAGGTGGTACCTTTTTTCCTGTAACTTGAAACCACCGGTTTCTAGTCCCAGTGGGAACCGAAAACAAACTTGCTCCATGACTAACTCATTCAGGCAGTCCTGCAGATCAACAGTCTATCCATTTATAATTTTGGCTGCAATCTCACAAATCTATTTCAATACATATACATAAAGAGCCTTAGCTGCCACTAGGTCTGACTGAACTCAATGGGACTTAAATCTGAGTAAGGATTCAGGGACAATCTATTATTACTAGGTTGTTGCTCTTGAGGGGGGCAGAAATAGATGTTCTTCCTCACACCTCAAATTGTTTCAGAGGAAAATATCCTGCCAGGGTATGAGTAGCAGTGATTCCTACCAGAGGGTGATAGGGTGAGTGAGGCAAGCAAGCAAAGGCTTCTAATAGGTGACAGACTGAAGTTGGGAATAAGAGACTTTCAAAAGGCAACAAGTTCAAGTTGGGTAAGATTGCAATCACACAATATCAAGCGAGGCACGCGGGTGCCAAGAAGGGTAAGACAACAAGGGAAAGTGCCTTGGGGAAGTCAACATCTGCTCAGCTTTGAAGCCAAGGGAATCCAGCGGCTGCCAAAACAAAAAGGCAGGGCTCCAGTTTCGATAAAATGGGGGCGCAGCAATGGTGCCTTGACAAAAGCTGCATCTACACTGGGGAAGGAATGCAACTTGACCATACTTGAACTGCCAGGGCTCCATGCTATGGAATTCTGGGAGTTGAAGGTTTGTGGGCAAAGAAAGGTAAAGACCTTATAGAATCCTAGAGTTGGAGGAGACCTCATGGGCCAGGCATGTAGCTGGGGGGGGGGGGCTTGAGGGGCTTCAGCCCCCCCCGAAATTCTCAGGGTGGTCCGCGCGAAGGCCTTACTGGTACATTATTTAAACTGTTATGTTTATTCATATCATGATCTGATCACCATACTCAATATATCCCATATGCATGGGGGTATTGGGGTAATGATACAAAAGGTTTGCTAGGGTAGACCCTCTTTCACTCAGACTCAGCCCCCCCCCCAAACTCAGCCCCCCCAAACCCCCCCTGAAAAAATTCACCCCCCCCCCCCCCCCCGAAACGAAATCCTGGCTACGGGCCTGTCATGGGCTATCCAGTCCAACCCTCTGCAAAGCAGGAAAATTGCATCCAAAGCACCCCTGACAGATGGCCATCCAACCTCTATTTCAAAGCCTCCAAAGAAGGAGCCTCCACCACACTCTGGGGCAGAGAGTTCCACTGCTGAACACCTCTCACTGTCAAGAAGTTCTTCCTCGTGTTCAAGTGGAATCTCCTTTCCTGTAGTTTGAAGCCATTGCTCCGCATCTTATTCTCCAGGGCAGCAGAAAACAAGCTTGCTCCCTCCTACCTGTGACTTCCACTCACACAGCCATCATGTCTCCTCTTAGCTTCTCTTCTGTGTGGATATGAGTGACAGTGCATAGCATGTATGTAAATAATAAAAGATTCCATCTGAACATGAGGAAGAGCTTCCTAACTGTGAATGCTGTTTAGCAGTGGAACTCTCTGCTCTCTATGACTTCCCCTCACATATTTATACATGGTCTTCATCATGTCTCCTCTCAGCCTTCTCTTCTGCAGGCTAAACATGCCCAGCTCTTTAAGCCGCTCCTCATAGGACTTGTTCTCCAGACCCTTGGTCTTTTGAGTTGCCCTTCTCTGGACACATTCCAGCTTGTCAACATCTCCCTTCAATTGTGGTGCCCAGAACTGGACACAGTGTGAGTCCAGGTGTGGTCTGACCAAGGCAGAATAGAGGAGTAGAATCTCCTATTGATGCAGGCCAAAATCCCATTGGCATTTTTAGCCACCGCATGAGATTGTTGGCCCCTGGTTGACTTGTTCCCCAGGAGGACTCCAAGATCTTTTTCACATGTACTGCTGTTGAGCCAGGCATTTCCCCCCATTCTGTATCTTTGCATTATAGAACTACAACTCCCAGGATTCCCTAGCATGGAGCCCTGGCAGTTCAAGTGGTGTCAAACTACCTCCCTTCCACAGTGGAAGTGTACCTAGGTCAGACATGGGCCAACTTGGGCCCTCCCTCCAGGTGTTTTGGACTCCAACTCCCACAATTCCTAACAGCTGACATGGGCCAACTTCGGCCCTCCCTCCAGGTGTTTTGGACTCCAACTCCCACAATTCCTAACAGCTGACATGGGCCAACTTCGGCCCTCCCTCCAGGTGTTTTGGACTCCAACTCCCACAATTCCTAACAGCCGGCAGGCTGTTAGGAATTGTGGGAGTTGGAGTCCAAAACACCTGGAGGGAGGGCCGAAGTTGGCCCATGCCTGGCCTAGACCCACAATGCTCTGACCCAAATGCGGACTCCCACCGCCCCATGGTTTCCTTGGATCAGGCTCAAGAGGAAATAATAACACAAGTTTGGAAAGCCCGACCTCTTTCTCCTTCCCTCAACGCGAGAGGGCCATTTCCTTGACCCTATGGTAGGGAGGCACGACTTTCCTTAGGAGGCCCCCTATATTTGGGGGGAAAGTGGGACCTTCCAAAATGCCGCCAGTTCTTTTCAGAGGAGGCCCGCGTGTCCCAAACTGAGAGCTTGGGGAGGAGGGGGGGGATTGAGGGTCGCCTTCTTTTGTGGCCAGGACCCCTCCCTCCTCTTTGTCCTGCTCAACATGAGACGGACCCTTCTTTGCCTTGACTCTGCACTGCTTCAGGGCAGGCCTAAGCGGGCCTTTGGAGGCTCTTTACACTCCGTACCGAAAATAGCCGGGGGGGAACCCCCTGGCCCACGTTTCCTCCCGGGCTCTCTTGAAATGTGGCTGCCACGTGGACTCTTCGGCCCCGTCCTCCGCCAACACGTTTCCCTCCCTAGCAATCCCCCCTCGTTGGACTCCCCTCGAGTTGGTGGAAAGTTAACTCACGCGGAAACTCCGCCAAGTTTTTGGCGAGTTGGAAAAAGGCTTCCTCCGCTGCTTCTTCTTCTCTCTCTCCCGGGGGCTGGGAAAGGGAGGAAGACGAGTTCTTAATGAAAACTTAAAGGAAAAAAGGAGGAGGAAAGAGAATTTTCAAAACCCCGGAGGAGGGAAGGGAAAGGAGCCGGAGCCGGAGCAGCAGCGCCGCCGAGCGAAGGCTCTTCTTGGCAAAGGGAGGGGAGCCCTCCGCGCCTCGGCCTTTATAAGGGCATCATCCGCTGGGCGAGGTGGCGGGCAAGGGCGCCCCAGGAAGGAGCCCGCCCAGGACCGCCTCACCTTCATTCGCCGCCTTCTTGTTCTTCTTGAAGGCCCTCAAGGCATTTCGGACTGAGGGTGGCCCTAACTAAGGCCTCTTCCACACAACCGTACAAAATCTCACATTTGTCTGCTTTGAACTGGGTTATATGGCAGTGTGGACTCAGTTCAAAGCAGATACAGGGAGCACACCACCCCCCTGCTATGCCAGCTCCACTGGCTGCGGTCCATTTCCGAGCACAATTCAAAGTATTGTCGAAGGCTTCCATGGCCGGAATCACTGGGTTGTTGTAGGCTTTTGCGGGCTATATGGCCATGTTCTAGAGGCATTCTCTCCTGACGTTTCGCCTGCATCTATGGCAAGCATCCTTAGAGGTAGTGACTACCTCTGAAGATGCTTGCCATAGATGCAGGCGAAACGTCAGGAGAGAATGCCTCTAGAACAGTGGTTCTCAACCTGGGGTCCCCAGATGTTTTTGGCCTTCAACTCCCAGAAATCCTAACAGCTGGTAATCTGGCTGGGATTTCTGGGAGTTGTAGGCCAAAAACACCTGGGAACCCCAGGTTGAGAACCACTGCTCTAGAACATGGCCATATAGCCCGCAAAAACCTACAAGAACCCAACAATTCAAAGTGCTGGTCTTGGCCTGTAAAGCCCCATGCAGCTCCGGCCCAGCTTACTTGTCTGAAGGTATCTCCCTCTATGTTCCACCTCGTAGTTTTAGATCCACTGGGGAGGCCCTGCTCTCAGTCCCACCAGCCTTGCAAACGTGTCTGGTGGGAACGAGGGACAGAGCCTTCTCAGTGGTGGCCCCCCACTTGTGGAATTCGCTCCCCAGCGAGATTAGATCAGCGTCCTCCCTCCTTTACTTTAGGAAAAAACTGAAATCGTGGTTTTGGAACCAGGCTTTTGGCTAGCAGGCACAACAGCACTTTGGACACTTATGGACCATGTGATGGTTATGATAATGAAAACGGCTACATGACTGTATAATTAATGTCATTGTTTTCAATCTATTATGTATTTATGGTTTTATATTATGTTATATTGTGATATTGCAGCATCGAATTGTTGCCAGTGTTAGTCACTCAGGGGATGAGAAGGGTGGGGTAAAAATGTTGTAAATAAATAAATATTGGACCTCATCCCACTAGTCCAAGCCTGGGCAAACTTGGGCCCTCCCTCCAGGTGTTTTGGACTTCAACTCCCACAATTCCGAGCAGCCTCGGAGCCCTTCCTTCTCCCATTCAGCCGCTTAAGACTTTCCACACTGAAATGCAGTAAGCATAACATTATGATTACCTCCTCCTCCTTCTTCTTCTTCTTCTTCTTCTTCTTCTTCTTCTTCTTGTTAGGCAATCCCTCGTAGTCTGAGGGTGATGGTCCTCCAAGTTCGGTGTCCTAGTGGTGGGTCCATAGGTGACTGTGGAGCCCTATTCTTGATCTGCATTATGATTACCATTCCACCCCTGGCCTGACCAGGGACACATCTATGGTGTAGAACAGGCCTGGGGAAACTTGGGCCCATCCAGGTGTTTTGGACTTCAACTCCCACCATTCCTAGCAGCCTCAGGCCCTTTCCAAAACTTTCTGAAATGCAGTAAGCATAACATGATTACAATTCCATCCCTGGCCTGACCAGGGTGCATCTATGGCAGTGGTTCTCAACCTGTGGGTCCCCAGATGTTTTGGCCTTCAACTCCCAGAAATCCTAACAGCTGGTAAACTGGTTGGGATTTCTGGGAGTTGTAGGCCAAAACACCTGGGGACCCACAGGTTGAGAACCACTGATCTATGGTGTAGACCAGGCATGAGCAAACTTTGGCCTTCCGGGTGTTTAGGACTTCAACTCCCACCATTCCTAGCAGCCTCAGGCCCCTTCCTTTTTCCTTTGCTGTGAATTCTGGGAGTTGAAGTCCAAAACACCTGGAGGGGCCAAGTAGGCCAGATGTGGCCCTTCAAGTTTATTTACATGTAAACATTAGACTTAGGGTTGCCCTAAGTCTGAAGCAACTTGAAGGCACACAATAACAACGAGCCTAAATAAATTTTAACTATCTCATCAGCCAAAGCAAGCTCATGCTTCCTGATAAAATACAGGTACATTTATGTTGGTTAAAATTGTTCTTCCTTTTAAATATTGTATTGTTCTTTCGTGGTTTTTTGTTCTACAAATAAGGTATGTTCAGTGTGCATATGAATTCATTTGTGTTTTTTTCAACCTATAGTCCGGCCCTCCAACTGTCTGAGGGTCCATGAACTGGCCCTCTGTTTAAAATGTCTGAGGACCGCTGCACTAGAGTATCCACTTTAAATCCAGTTGCTGCCTCCAGCAGAATTCTGGAGTTTGTAGTTTAGGGAGGGGGCTTTAAACTGCCTAGCCATAAAGGTCCTGGGCCTCCCTAAACTACAAACCCCAGAATTCTGTTGGAGGAAGCAACTGGATTTAAAGTGGATAGGTGCTCCGTCTAGTGTGATGAGGTACATAGTGGATTATCTGCCTTGATATTCTGGGTCATATGGCTGTGTGGAAGTCTCAAGTTTAGGGCAGGAGCCAAGGAAATGACTTTGGAGGGCCACCCTATCCTGCCTGCCAACCTTAGTTTGGCTATAGACATTGTAAAACTGCACCTCCCATGATCCCATAGCATTAAGCCATTGCGGTTAATATGGTCTCAAACTTCATTAATTCTACACCAGGCAAACATTCAGTGCCTCGAAACCCAGATACACAGATAAAGGTAAAGGCTTCCCCTTCCGGCTCTGAGGGGTGGTGCTCATCTCCATTTTTAAGCCAAAGAGCCGGTGTTGTCCATAGACACCTCTTAGGTCATGTGGCCAGCATGACTGCATGGAGCGCCATTTACCTTCCCATCGAGGTGATACTGATTGACCTACTCACATTTGCATGTTTTCGAACTGCTAGGTTGGCAGGAGCTGGGGCTAACAGTGGGAACTCACCCTGTCCCACGGATTCGAAACACCAGCCTTCCAGTTCAGTTGCACTACTGCAGCCCCAAGAGTGGCGAGCCCTGCCCTTCAGCTTTGAACACAACACTATGTGGCCCAGGACACTTTGTATCTCTCTTTCACGCTACACAGTTGAAGCACTGTATTTCCACTTCAAACTGCTATGGCAGTATTTTATGCAACCCTCCTGGGATTTGTAGTTCAGAGGCACCAAAAGAGCTCTCGTCTGCCCTTCTCTAAACTGCAGATCCTGGGCATTCCCTAGAATGGAACCATGAGAGTTAATGTAGATTCATAGAACTATACAGGAGGCCGCAGTGGTGCAATGGGTTAAACAGCTGAGCTGCTGAACTTGCTGATCGGAAGGTTGGCAGTTCAAATCCACAAGGCGGGATGAGTTCCCACTGTTAGCCCCAGCTGCTGCCAACTTAGCAGTTCGAAGACTTGCAAATGTGAGTAGATCAATAGGTACTGCCTCGGCGGGACAGTATATGGCTCTCCATGCAGTCATGCCGGCCACATGCAGTCATGCCGGCCACAGTTGTCTATGTTCAATACAGGCCTTTGGCTTAGAAATGGAGATGAGCACCACCATCCGGAGAGCCGGAGATGAAGGGGAAGCCTTTACCTTTATCTGTATGTATCTGTGTTTCATTGTTTCGAGGCATTGAATGTTTGCTTTGTGTCTTTATATGCTGGAATCCGTCTTGAGTCTCCTTGAGGAGATAGGGTACAAATAAAGTGTTGTTATATTATTATTATTATTATTAGTAGTAGTAGTAGTAGTAGTAGTAGTAGTAGTAGCAATATAACTGCATAGTGTGTAAGGTCCCAGGTCTCCAAGGTAAAATAAATGAATGCTTGGAATCTGCTGGGGTTTGGTTTCAGGACACCCCATAGATGGTCAAGTCCCATTTTGTGCTATAGCATAGTAAAACAGTATCCCTTATATAAAATGGCAAAATCAAGATTTGCTTTTGGGCATATATATGTGTGTGTGTGTGTTGAAGTCAAGGACAATAGAATCTGTTGATGTAGAACAGGGGTCCCCAAACTAAGGCCTGGGAGCCAGATACAGCCCTCCAAGGTCATTTACCTGGCCCTCGCTCAGGGTCAACCTAAGTCTGAAACGACTTGAAATCACACAACAACAACCACAACAATCCTATCTCATCAGCCAAAAGCAGGCTCACACTTCCCATTGAAATACTAATAAGTTTATATTTGTTAAAATTGCTCTTCATTTTAATTGTTGTGTTGTTTTAAGTGTTTGGGTTTTTTTGCTCTACAAATAAGGTATGTGCAGTGTGCATAGGAATGCATTCATGTTTTGTTTTTGTTTTTTCAGATTTGAGGGACTGTGACCTGGCACTCTGTTTAAAAAGTTTGAGGACTCCTGATGTAGAATCTGTGGATACTGTGCACCTATTTCCTTGGACTACCAGTATAAGATATATTGTACCAGTATAAGATGTATCGTGTGTGTGTTACTGTAGATACACACACACGATAGGTATATAAAACAACACAAAAATAATTGGGGAAGTTTTTTTCCCAGAGCAAAATTCTACTTAGAACAGGCATGGGCATAAAGGATCATTTAGAGATATTTGGGGAAACAACAGGTCTACAAGTTAACTGGAACAAGTCAGAAATGATGCTATTTAATTATACAAAGAAAGAAGAAAAATACTTTATAGAACAGAGCAAAATGAGAATTAGAATTAAGAATAAATTAAAATACCTGGGAGTAATAATAACAAAGGATTTTTTAAAAATGCAAGAGGTAAATGTAGCATTGAGAAAAGTTATTCAAAAAACATTAATAGAATATGAAAATATACATTTATCTTG